TTACTAAGTACAACACAAACCATATTTATGGCTATGGACAGAAATTTGCTTTCAAAAAAATATACAACCCAATTAATATGCCACTGCCTTTTTCATGTTCTGCTTCAGGGGCAGAAAGAGAAAGCGCAGGCAGGTCAGGGAAGGGAGAGTCAGAACAACTAGGGCACAGACAGCTGACGGACCAGGAAGAAAGACTGATGGAAAAAGGACAGCTGCTGACACCCAGTGAGAAGGGGACATTGCTGCCCCATGTCCAGTGGAAAGTGCAGATCAAACCACTCATGAGCCGGGAACTGGGGTGCATGCCTCTGATTCCAATGATTCTCAAGGCAAGGAGATTGCAAGTTCGAGGCTAGCCTCAGCAACTTGGTGAGTCCTTGTCTCAAAATAAAAATAAAAAGGACTGTGGTGTGGCTCAGTGGTAGAGCACTCTRGGTTCCATCTCCAGTTTGGGGTGGGTGTGGGGTGGGGGTGGTGCAGAATCACTTAAAAATGGGCGAGAGTTCTTTATAAGTTCTTAATTCTAATATGATAGACATCAACCAATCAAAGCCAATAAACACAGGGATAATATGTCATGACTAGCAGAGGAGATCTAACATCTGAAAACTTATCAAATCCTACAGCTTTTAAGTGGGTGCTGCTTAGCTTTGTTTCGCTTCCCACAAGTAAAAACTCACACAGTGAAATTTAAAACCACAAGCAAACTAGGAACAGAAAAAAACTTCCTCCACCTGACAAAGAGCGGCCACCAGGACAAGGGCAAGCACCAGGCAGGAGTGTGTTCCTGCCTGCTCTGCAGCACAGTGGGAGTGTCCTGCCAGGGTCTTGCACCCACAGGACGTGACCTTCCACACAGACAATCGGGTGAGCTCTAAGAGAAAGCTACTGTAGCTAACAGGAACTCACAAGGGCTGTGGGACCTGAGCAAGATTGGAGGCCTGTTGTGCACCACACCCCCATGGTTAGGCAGCAAGGATGGAGACATAGCACCAAAGCACGATCCACTCAAAACAGGTGGCCAAACACCACCAGACAGAGAACTTCTTCCACTTTTTGTCAGTGGGATTGAACCCAGAGGTGTACTACCACTGAGCCACATCCCAGCCCTTTCTTTATTATTTTGAGAAAGGGCCTCGCTAAATTGCTGAGGCTGGCCTGGGACTTGTGATCCTCCTGCCTCAGCTTCCAGAGTCACTGGGATTACAGGTATGGGCCACTGTGCCTGGCTCCTTTTTAAAAATATACTGGTTGAAGGATAAAAAAAAATAAGCCTCTAATCAGGTCTTTTTTTTGATGGTGGTGGTGCTGGGGAATGAACCCTTGTGCATGCAAGGCTCTCTATTCAGGTCTTGCAAATCATGTATCTGGTAGAGGACTTCTATTCAGAAAATACAAAAAAAAAATCCAAAATTCATTAAAGAGAAATTTTCATGAGCAAAAGACATAAACAGGCACTCGGCAAAAATATGACAGGGGCAGGAAAACACAGGACAAGGAGTACTGTCACTATCCATCCGGGAGATGCAGATTTAAACCACAAGAGTCTTCTAAACACCTGTCAGACGTGTACAATTTTAAACACCACATCGAGTGTTGTTTAGGATGTGAAGCACCTGGAAAGCTACACATGCTTGGGGAAATGCCAAATGCTTACAACTACTTTGGAGAACATTTTGGCAACATCTTAAATAATTAAACATACATCAACTAGATGGCCCTAACCATGGACACAGTGCATAACTGTAAAACTATAATAAAACTGGAGAAAAAACATGGGAAGACCTTCATCATCAGGACTTCAGGCACACTGGGGAGCGGGAACTATGTGCTATGACACAGCAAGTGCCCATCTAGGACTCTGCTCCTAAAAACCTCACTAGCACACCCTGTGGCCAGAAGAGCTCTCCTCCATCAATCCTGCCTCCATGGGCCCTGAAAGCAGGAGCCCAGAGTCCTGCTGTGGCAACTCTGCAATTGTCAGGCAATACTAAATACTCCCTCTGCCTCACCCAGTTCAGAACATTCTACAGCAGTAAAGGGAGGGCCCTCCAAAAGTGGTATCTGGGAGGCAGATGGGTAGGGAGCTAGGCCTGCAACCAAGAGGCCCTGGGAGCTTGGTGGGATRTGCCCTCCTGTGCCTCAGGCCAGAGCACAGCCCCAAGAGAACACAGGCTCTGGAGCAGGAAACATGGATCCTGTGACTGATGGGAACTGCATGTCACATCTAAACCAACACAAGAGCTAGTGACACTTAAATCCATGGCTTCCATTTTCTACCTCAATCCACTTCACTAGCCACATGTGCACAGAGAGCAGGAGTCGGCCCCGCAGTGCGACCTTGCCTCCGAACCAGTGACCAGCTTCAGAAGCAGCAGCAGCACACAGAGTGTGAACACAAAGAGTGCACCTAGCACATGCTTGAACTGGGCACCTCTAGCATGGCTGATACTCCCAGTAATCGTCTTATTTTTAAAAAATGAAGAATAAGAATAAAATTTGAAAAGATTAGAAAACTATCTGGCTCCACAGTTCTGTCCAACAACCCTTTCACACGCCAGGTCCAAATGTGTAAAAGCTATGAAAACTGAGTGACAGCAAAACATGGTCTACCATAAACTCATATGGGACAAAACCTGACATGAATGGACAGAGCCACTTACAGACTTTAACCCACATTGAGAATATTTCTTCATTTAACTACAAAAATATCAAGGTATTTAACTACCGTATACTTTTCCTGCCCCTTTAAGAATATCTCATGAAATACAGACCACGCATCATATTATCTTTCCAAAAGACTTTTGAAGTTGCAAACTTTTGAAGTTGCAAACTCAAGGGTCTCCAATGGTGGACCTTCCTCATATTCATAGAGCCTGAATCCTAGCAGCCTATGGTGTCTGGTTACTGTCCAAGAAACTTATTTAAATACATCTACATAAAATACTAAAGATTTTTCCCTGTTTCAGTTCAGAAAGAAGCTTCAACAACCCAGTGAATCCAAAAGGAAGAAATCTATGACTGATAGCTGCTCTGCTTATTTTTATCTCTCAGCTGCCCAGAGAGCAAAGGGAAACCAGCTCTCTACACAGCCACAGTGGCTACCCACACTTCCTGGTTCTTTATCCTGGGTGCTTTGTGACCTACATAAACTTCCTGCTTTGCATGAACCTCCTTCTCTTACCAACCAGGACCACTTCCATCTCAAATGCCCTCCTAGCCCAGGAAGGTACACCCTGATCCCCCCACCCTGCTGCTGTCTTCTGCCAATCCCTTCCCAGAGGTCTCCCCAGCTGCATGTACAACTTCAATGCTGTAATGCCTGCTCCATATGGCCTTGTTCTTTAGCCATTTGAGCATGCGTCTCATTTCACATYCTACAGGGCCTAAACCAGGTCCTGTCCAGTATGAATTTCCTGAAAAATGAAGATAACTGCCTGACATTTTTACAGTAAATAAACTAAATTGAGCAAGCTTTTGTTACTGTAACAGATATAAGGGAACATCACACTTCAGAACTTTAGTGGGGGCATTGCCCCCATCTCTAAAAGAAGCATCAGAAGTTTCTCCCTAAATCACACCCAAAAATCTGTTTACGGACATGCTGGGGAAAAGCATGTGATGGTGCTACAACCAGAAAATCCCCTCAGGCCTTCTAGAATGAAAACATCCAAATACTCGGCCAGTTCTCAGCACCCAATAGAGCACAAATGACCACAAAGGGCTCAGAAGGTCGACCCTCCAACCCTGAGAGTTCAACGGAACACGACTGTGTTTAGCCCATGAATTTCAAAGCTGGTGAGAACTGATGCGTCCCTGGACACCACTGGATAAAAAGTAAAGAAGACCCAGAAGAGAGATTCCAATCCTGTGTGAGGAAGGGAGAGGACATTCAGAAAGCTACAAATAAAACCAACAACAGATAACTTCAAGACATAAACGATGGCCATATCCATCCAGCAAAGTCCTACATAGTCCATRGATAATAGCTCTGCTTCCTGTGACTTACACAGGCACCACACAAGACGTTCAAGGGTGAGACACACTGACTTCAAGAGAGAAACAGACTAGGGCATCAGGCACTGTCTGCCCTCCCCAAATAGGACAGGACTGCCACTGCTTAAATGCTGTGTGCAACCAGAGGAACTTCTGGGAACTCAGGAAAACCAGTCCCCAATACATAGCAGTCCTGGTGTGATGCAAACAGCTATGGCTTATGCCCCCCAGCAGTGCTGCTCACCTCCTGACTCTAGTGTGTAGGGTCCTCCTCTCCCTCCCCAACAACTGTTAGAGCTTCAGTCCCAAATATAGGAGGTTCCTCCATATCTATTATCCTCCAGCCTGACCCTAGCCTGAGTCTACCCCTCCAACAAAGAAGTTGGGACCCAGACCCCCCAGCAGTGACCCTCCAGGCCTGCCCTTACCCACGTCCTCAGTGGTGGCCCTCCAGCCTTGCCCTGACCCACGCCCCCAGGGGTGACCACCCCAGACCTGGCCTGACCCACGCCCTCAGGGGTGACCCTCCAGCCCTGACCAGACTCACACCCCCAGTGGTGATCCTCCCGGACTATCCTGACCCACGTCCCCAATGGTGACCCTCCCGCTGACCCTGTCCCCGGCAGCGTGACTACCCCCGCGCCCAGCTCGGGCCTCACCCTCGGCCAGGACCCGCCGCACCCGCAGGCGCAGCTCGCCCAGCTCCACCGTCTGCCCCACGAAGTCGCTCTGGTCGCGGCCGGCAGCTCCGCCCAGGGAGCCCGGGCCCGCCAGGAAGTCGAGCGCGGACTGCAGCAGAGACATGGCGGCAGCCGCTCAGTGGCAGCGGGAGCCGGGCTGGGGCTCAGGCTGCACTCCGCCTGGTCAGCGGCCGCCGGAGCACAGCCCCGCCATCTTCCGCCCGCGCCGTGACGTCAGTGCGCAAGCACGTCGCGCCGTGGGGCCACGCCCCCGACCCTTCGCCGAGGGCCGGAAGGATGCGTGCTTCACTTCCGTCGCGCCGGCGGGCGCACAAGCTCCAGGCGTGGGCCCGCGACAGACTTCCGGCGGGGCTCGCGGGCAGCTCACACCTGAGAGAAGGAGGGCCACGGCGGCCCCGCCCAGGTCGTCACCTGCCGCGCGCCCCACAGGCCAGGCAGCCGGTCCCTCCGCGAGGCCTCGTCTCAGTGGCGGGGCGGAACGGCGCGGACGTTGGGCGCGAGTTTGGCGGCCGCTCCGCCGGACTGCGCCTCCCAGGGAAGGCCGGGCCAGCGGAAGGTCCCTGTGCCGCCCTCGAGAGGACGGAGCCGGCGGCCGCACACGCGCGTTCCTTTCCTTGGGCCGCACGGTTTTGGGGGAAACATGAGTTAGTGGCTGCCGTTGAGAGACTGAGCTCAAGGACGCGGTTTCCCAGCTTGCGTGGGAAAGCCTGACCTGGCGGCGTCGGGCCGCAGTCCCGCGTTTTCTCAGCCCCCTGGAGCTGCCGCCTTCAGGTACGACGCGGCACTGTGTCAAAATAAAAAGGACTGGGAATGTAGCTCAGTGGTGGTACAACCCTGGGTTCAATCCCAGGACTGACAAATAAATCAGGTAATCAGGAAACCAAAATCTACTGCAACTCTCTCGTATTTATTTATTTATTTTTAATTTTCTTTTTGTAGTTGTAGATGGACAGAATGCCTTTATTTTATTTGTGGATTTTTATGTGGTGCTGAGGATCAAATCCAGTGCCTTATACATTCTAGGCAAGCACTCTACCACTGAGCTACAGCCCCAGCCCTTTCGTAAGTATTTATAAAGCCACGCTTCTTGGCATTGCAGTAGATGCCATGCTAACACTGTCTTGACCCAAATCTGCCTCCACGTTTTTCTGAATTTGACAGTGGGTGTTCATTTGTAGCTGTCTCACTTCACATACTTGTCTAAAACTAAGTCCATGGTCTTGATCCCCCAATTATAGCAAAAGATATCACCACAAGTAAGAGAACTATTTTGTGATGATCAAGGGGTGAATTCACTAAAAAGATGTAACAATCCTAAACATATATGTGCCTAATARCAAAGATCTAAAATATCTGAACCAAAAACTCAGAACTACAAGAAGAGAGGCCAATCACAGTTGTAGTGGGAGGTTGATGTAGTTGGAGAGTATTTTTTTCCTCAATAAATGACAAGAGGGGCTGGGACTGTAGCTCAGTGGTAGCATGCTTGCCTCGCATGCAYGAGGCACTGGGTTTCAGCCTCACCACCACAGAAATGTAAAATAAGGATACTGTGTCCATCTAAATCTTAAGAATAAACATTTTAAAAAGTAAATAAAAATAAATGACAGGAACCCAGAAAATCACTAATGATACTGTAGACTTGAACTACCAAGCAGCTTGAGCTAATAAACATTTATAAAATGATCCCTACAATAATATAAATTGGTGTCTGACTATTTTTTAAAAATACACTGTTGAAATTAAAAGACAACTCAGACTTGGAGAAAATATTTGCAAATTGCCTATGTGGTAATAGACTTGTATATGAAATACACGTAGAGGAAAGTGAGTTCTACATGTCTTCAGGGTAGTCTACTTGTCTTCTGTCCAGTCTTGGGATTGGATACACAGGCTCTGGTGTAGTCCTGGTTTCTTCAGGCACACCTCCTTGTTTGAGCCTCATGAGGCGGCCTTCTCAAACTCCTTGCAATTTGCTGCATGCCAGGCTCTCCCTGTTACACAGAGATAGTTCTTTCTGGCTTTTCATTAATTCTCACAGTGATATTTAAGGATTAAAAGAGACATCAAGTATGAACTACTTGGGACAATGCTTGATGTTTAAGATATGCTTAATAAAGGCCTCTTACTGTTCTTGTGTCCCTTGTCAGAAGTGTCTCCACACTCAGCTCCAGCATCTCCCATACTGAGGATTCCTGACAGTCTCTGCAAGAAACCTCTTGCTTTCCCACTGTGGCATCTGTATCTCTAGTCCTGTCTTTTCTTCATTGGCATGTGTCATAAAAACTTGCGTGCAAATGTGTAGATGACATGGTTTGAGCACTTAAAGACTAGGCATTGGGTTGTGTTCTTTTTAACTGGTGCAGTTCATAAAACTGTTTTAACCACTTTTGAGCACACGGTCCAGAGACACGAACCCCTTCGCTCCTCGGTGCAGCTTCTCCACCCATCGCCAGGCTCTTCCTCTTGCAAAGCTGAAACTCCCCGTTATGCACCAATTCACCCATTCCACTGAGCCTCTGGTGCCCACTGCTCTACTTCCTGTTCCTATGGGTTTAAGTRCTCTGGGGTGTCCCGTGCAAGTGGAGCCATACAGTATTTGTCTTGTGCAACTGGCTCGTTCCACATTGGAGTGTCCTCCCAGTCCTTCCATGTGATAGCATGTGTCAGGACTTTGTGATGCTYCATTCAGAAACCAAGATGGAGGCTCCAGTGCCTTCTGCCTCTGGGCTATTGTGAACAGCCCTGGGATGAGCTTGGGTGCATGGGCATCTCTGTAAGTCCCTGCTTTTGACTCTTGGATGTGTACCCGAGGAGGAGTTGCCGGACCTGGTGGTGGGCTGTTCTTGGTTTTGTGAGCCAGGCAGCTGCACCACTTTGTGCTCTACCAGCAGGGTGCAGGTTCCAGTTTCCTCTGTCTTTGCCAACACTTCCTTGTTTTGTTTCATTGCCAGCCTGGAGGGTTGCTGTCTCATCGGGGTCTAATTGTAACAGTTCTTTAAATATTTTAGATATTATACCTTGATCAGATAGTGGTTTGCAAATGTTTTCTCCCATTCTGGGAATTGTTTTTATTAATTTTGTCCTGTGGTGCACAAAGGTTTAAAATTGAACGGTTGTGGCAACCTCTTCAAAAGTGAGCTTGGATAGGCTTGGTGGCAAGCACCTATAATCCCTGTGGCTTGGGAGGCTGAGGCAGGAGGACCACAAGTTCAAAGTCAGCTTCAGCAACTTAGTGAAGCCCTAAGCAACTTAGCAAGACCCTGCCTCTAAGTAAAACAAAAAGAGAGGGCTGGAGATGGGGCTCAGTGGTTAAGCACCCCTAAGTTCAATCTCTGGTACAAAAAAAAAAATGAGATTGGTTTGACCATAATATTTACTTCTGAACCCCTTGCCATTGGGCTACATCTTTAGGCCAGAACTGGGAGCAACTCCACTGTGTGGAGTCCATAGTGCTCGGTCACTGAGCACATGAACAGTCGGTCCACACAGAGTAAGTAGTTATGACACAGCAGGAAAAGAGCTCAGTGCRTCCCCCAGCTATGTGCCACGGCATTTGGGAAAGGTAAAGCTGCAGTGACAGAGCTGCCAAGCTTGCCATGTGGGAGAGTTCGACGAGGACTGGGAGCGGGGACCAGGGTTCCAATTGGGACTGGTCACTTACCCATGTCCATTTCTCAGAAGCTCAGAACTGCACCCCAGAAGAGTGGCTTGGACCATACGTTGGATAGGAGTGAAGGGGAGGTGGGCCAGAGCCACCTCCCTCTCTCCTTCTGTCCTGGCACTGCAGTCCCTGTGTTCCTGACGGTTCTGCCTTACATGTTGACACCCTCGTCAGAAGGTCACTGCATAATGCTGTCTGCAACTTTTTTTTTTAATTGTAGTTGGACACAATACCTTTATTTTTATTTATTTATTTTTATGTGGTGTCAAGGATCGAACCCAGTGCCTCATAAGTGCTAGGTGAGCGCTCTGCTGCTGAGCTACAACCCCAGCCCCTGCTGTCTGCACTTGCAGCTGATGTTTTTAGTTCTGTCTCTCTAGATCTGCCTACTTGCTCATACTTTGTTTAATGGCTTAATAATTAATTGTGTTTACTTTTTTTCCCTCAGTGCTGGGGATGGAACCCAGGGCCTCACGTGCTAGACAAGTGCCCCACCATGAGTGACACCCTGGCCTGTGTTTCACATATCTTGTTAACAGAGGCTTGCTTGGTGTGGACCTCAGGCCTATCTGGAAACTGAGCTCCCCTGCAGGCATGCTCCTTCAGCTGAGGGCTGTGGCTCTGCTAATGTCCCCAGGATGCCAGATGTCTCCTACAACCTCACTAGCTCTTCTGACTGACAGCTTTCTGGCTGCCAGGCAGGCCCTCTAGCACTGAGCTCCACCCAACYCTGACTACATGTTTATTCAGTTTGGTTTCCTCACTGGAAACTGCCAGTCAGCCTCCTTTGTCCATCTTGGGGTGGGCTTCTGATTGTGTCTGGTGTCAGTTGCCTTGTTTGAGCAGCATGTGATGGTGCCCCTTACCTCTTGTCTTTGGCAGTCTGTCTACTGATGCTCTGGCCAGGGTGAGCAGCATCCTCTGCTGGGCTTTGGRAGGTACTGGGAGTTGACGGTAGGGGCACTCTACCACTGAGCTATAACCTCAGCCCTTTCTATTTTTTAATTTTACTTATTTTTTTTCTGTGCCTTAGAAAATGGGCCCTGAAGCAAACCCTTCATCCTTCCTCAACATTGATCTTCTCCACCCTCTGGATCTGGGTAGTTCCTGGGTGGGGTTGGCTCTTTCTCCAGGACCTTGGGCATCAGCCTCCCTCTTTTGAGGGCACATTTTGGCCCCTGGCTGTTGCCAGACCTATTCCTCTCCCTGAATCCCAGCTTCAGCCTCCTTGCCACATTCCCATCCCCTGTCACCCAGCTGTGGTGGGGGCCCTGGGTCCAGTGTGGAGTCCACAGGGCTCAGCGCTGTGCTGCCCAGATGCCCACCAGCTCTGCTCCAGGATATGAGCACACTCTGTCTGGAGTCACCCTTGTCTTCCAGAGCCTACTCCTGACGTTAACAGTGTCCTGGGAGCTCTGAACCAAGGCTGTGTGCCATGGGGGCTTTTGTTGGGTGTGCACATTGGTCCTGATGCTGTGACCTCGGGCCCCAAGGGCACCCACTCCTTTTTCTTGTTTAGGACCAAAACAGCTCATAGGATAGAATCTGCTGTTGGGTTCAGGCATTCTGGGCCCTTCCCTGGTGATGTGGGTGCTAAGCACCCACCTGTGTTGTGTGGGCCTTCTCTCCTGCCTGCTCCTCTAGGGGAAGCAGGCACAGCATGTCCCTCACCCCAGTCACCAAGCTTAAGCTTAGTGAGGGAATCTCAGGCTGATGCTTAGCCTGGAGGGTCTTCCCCATTCTCCACACCCAGCCTCTATTCCTGTGCCCCCTGGCTAAAGCCTGTAAGGCAGCCCCTGAGAGCAACCCACTGGCATGCTCAGAGCTGTGCTTCCTTCTAGGCTTTTGTGGCCACTGGGCAGTGGCCCCGTCATGTCTGGGCCCCAGACTCCTGAACACACACTGGATGCCCAGGGTGACTCATCCCTATGCAGGAAGGATGAGGACATCAGGGAAGGGACCCAGAGCTCCCACCGCATGCTGGGTTTCAGTGACGCACTACTGTCCATCATCGCCACAGTCATGGTAAGTGTGGGGCCCACTTCAGGTAGGTGGAGGCACCCATCCCTGGCCCTGCTGCCAGCCCAAGAAACATCTGGTTTCCTTTTGTCTTTGTTCTTCAGATCCTTCCTGTGACCCACACGGAGATCTCCCCAGAGCAGGTACCAGGAGCATGCTGTGTAGTGCAGGGGGACAACCCCACCTGGTCTGGGGGTGTTGAGCAGCAGGGTGGGCACCTGCTTCCTCCTGGTAGGGTCACTGTCTGCATAAGTTGGGGCGGTTGGGGTTGGGACCAGGCTTCTGCAGTGAAGACCTCTCTCAGCCTGAGTGGAGAAGGAAGTGTCCTCTAGTGGGAGGGAGCTCTCCAGATCCAGAGATCAGGCTGCCTCAGCAGAGGCACATCCACCTGGCATGTGCACCAGGCCCATCTGGGGGTGAGTGGGGAAAGGGTGTAAAAGCTTTTCCGTTTAGAGCCAGCTTTACTGGACAATTTCTGACTAAAGAGAGCAACATGTGACTGATCACAGCAGAACAGTTTGGAAGACATTTGGAAGGCCTGTGGGAGCATGCATGCACCTTGTCTCCTATCTGCCCGTGTGACAGGGTGTCACAATGCCAGACTTGTTTGGGGTGCTGTGAGGCGCAGAGGAATGTGCTGGCCCAGGGGATGTGCTGGCCCAGCAAGGCTGACGTCYAGCCGCCTACAGGCTGAACTGGATGACCTGGGAAGCCCCACAGCTACTTGGATTTGGTTTTTGCACTGTGAAGAAATGATGAAGCACTTTCCATAGGGTTGTAGTAGAAATGTGCGTCCAGCCTGACACAGCTCTCTGGAGGAAATCCAAGCATTGATTGCACCAGGTGCCTGGCAGTCCCCAGTGGAAAGTGCCCACCAGCAGCTGTTCAGAAAAGCCGTGCCCCACAGGATCAGTGGTAGTTCTGGGGCCTACTATGGGAAGCCCATGGTTTGGCTCCAGCCAGTATGTGCTGAGGTGTTTCCTTCATGAGAGGCCCAGATCAGCATCCTGTGAGACCACAGGGGCAGTTTTCCAAGCAGCGAGAAAACTCAGCTGTTCAGGCCCACTCTGACCCCACCGCCGCCGGGCCACTTGTGTTCTCTGCATGGAAACTGGGACTTCTTGGTGCTGAGTCTTTCTGTTTCTTCGCTGGGTCTCAGAAAGCTCCTAAGAGTCCATGGGTGCAGGCAGAAACACTCTGGGAAGGAGAGAAAGGTGCTGGACCAGCGATCCTCCCTGACACGGGGCTTCCTGGACTGCTCATGTGTTAACATGAAGACAGTCAACTTTGAACACTGCGATTCAGAAGCACAGTGACTCAGGGAAGGGTACCTTTGGAGATGATACCCAGAGCCCAGGAGACAGTGGGCAACCTGCGCCTGCCAGGGTCTTGAGCCTACACTGACAGCCTTTGACAGGCCATCCGTGACCTTGTGAAAGGGCTGCAAGGCTCATTGGGCTCTTTGCCCTCTACCTTTCCGCCATGAGATGGGGAGCCCGCTGTCCAAGGCACTCCTGCAACTCTGAACCATGAGGCCTGTATTGTGGGCTTTCTGGACCCCACCATGACAGCTGGAGGCTCGCCCTGAGGGGAGTGGAGGGTCAGGGGAGGGGGTGTGGCCCCCAGCAGGCAGAGCCTGGGTGTTCCAAGGGGTCTCACCGCACTCCAGTGAGGCCATGCCCATGCGTCGAAGGCTACCTRGGTTACCTATGACTGTCCCTAATGGCAGTGCTCTTTTGTTCTAGCAATTTGACAAAAGTATACAGAGACTTCTAGCAACCAGGATTGCTGTCTACCTGATGACATTTCTAATTGTGACTGTGGCCTGGGCTGCACACACCAGGTAGGGACTGGGCTTCTTTGAGATCAGGTCACCTTTTGACTCACTTAGGCAGTGAGCCACACTATTCTCAAGGTATATGTGGGCCCCTCACATCATCATGGGTGAGAGTGCCAGGGTGGGTAGGTCACCCCTTTCTCCATCATCCCCAATTCTTTCTCTGAGCCTCCTGCCTGGGTTCCCACACACAGGCTCCAAGGCAAGTCTATTTCCGCAAACATATAGCACTGCCCGCTGGCCATCCAGACACTGGGTGAGGGTGCCCAGTGTGTCCTGCTAGACCCCAGAACCAGGATGGAGCCTGGCAGGAGGGGGCAAGCTGCCAACACCTCCAGCCCCTGTCCAAGCCCACAGGTAGTTCTCCAAGGCCTGAGCTTTATCTTGGGGAGGAAAAGGTCCTGATCCAGAGGTTACTGCCCAACCTACAGGGCCCCCAACCACTGGCAGGGGAGCAGGGACAGGAGGCACCCAGAGGTGGAGCTGGGAGTGGATGCTTCCATCCTAGGTTGCAGACCAGCCTATGGAAGGGAAGCACTTGTCCAGGAAGGCTGGGGTGCAGGAAAATGCACCTATTCCATCAGGTGTTGGCACTGGGCCAGATACCTCTGGCGCTGTGTGTTGTATACTGCCCTCAGCAGACAACCACTTTGGGAGATGAAGCATGGACCTCGGAGTCCAAGCTCCAGGGGTGGGAGGGCTCTTCTCAGCCTCCCTGGTGTACCGAGTGCTCAGGAGGCTCTCAGGGGATGTTGCAAAGTAGGTGGGCTGTGAGCTCTGCCAGGGGCTGTACCCACTGTGGTCGACATTGCCTGAGTGGGGTTCAGGGGCCCCATGAGGGGCTTCCAGATCTGCTGTGTGCATCTGCCTGAGCATGGTCTTCTGCACACCTGGTTGCAGTGCTCAGCAGGTCACCAGAAGAGCTTCCCAGCTCAAGGGGGCCATAGTCCTTGCTATTTAGCTTTTCAGCAAATGCTGCAGCACCAGGTTGGCCCTGTTTCCCTGTCCCTAGGCTTGCTGCCCAGCCCAGGAGAAGGCATGGTTCACAATGAACAGGGGACATGGTACTTGGGTACCCTAAGCTGGCGTCAAGCTCTGACAGGGAAACCTGGGGCATGGACCAGGTGGGCTGGGGCCTCAGAAACAAGACCCTTGGCCAATTGTGCTCACTCATGTTGCCCATGATGAAAGCTGTCTTTTTTGTTTGTTTGTTTTGGTACCGGGGATTGAACTCAAGGAGACCTACCCACTGAGCCACACCCCCAGCCCTATTTTGATTTTTATTTAGAGACAAAGTCTCACTGAGTTGCTTAGCCCCACACTTTTGCTGAGGCTGGCTTTGAACTCGTGATCCTCCTGCCTCAACCTCCCAAGCCACCACACCCTGCTGAAAGCTATCAATTTTTAATTTTTTTGTTTGTGTCAAATAGTCTCAGGACAAAGCAATTTCTCTATTAAATAGGCAGCTCCACAGGTTTAGGGTTTGAAACCCCTGAAAACAATGGGAAAGAAGGATTTCCTCTCTTCGAAATGGATTTTGTGCACAAGGCCTGAAGAGTGAATTCACTGCATGATGGAACTTTATGTACACATATCCAGAGCCTGGTTTTCAGCCTTCTGGCAGAAGCTACACAACATTTCAAGAGAGTTTCAGCTGGGGCAAGCCACATGTGCCTCTTGCACCTCGAACAGGCAGGTCACATTCAGAGGCTCCCCTCCCAGCAAGGCCTCCCATGAAACCCAACCCAAGAGCCCCCTCTAGCCCTCCAGATCCCAGGTTCCACAGGATCAGCCTGCTCCAAAGACACACTTTGAAAAGACTCCTCCAGAGCCACCCATTGTACACATTTGTCTGTAGTTTGGCTCTTACTCTTCAAAGCAATATGCTTTAAATAGCAAAGCAACAGGAAGAATATGTGGGAATGAAGAGGGTGATTTCCAGGGAATTTATGATTTTGAATTTTCTTAATTTCATACACTGGGTAGGATTTTACATTTAATCCTAAATGACATCTTTTAGCTGGGTGTGGTGGCACATGCCTATAATCCCAGCAACTCAGGAGCCTGAGGCAGGAGGATCGTGAGTTCAAGGCCAACCTGGGAAATTTGAGACCCTGTCTTAAAAATTAAATAAGGCTGAGGATGTAGTTCAGTGGTTAAACATCTCTGGGTTCAACCCCTGGTTACCTCCCTACCCCCAAAATCATCTTTTAATGATATTTAAACTAGAAAATACTGGAGCAGATGTGTGTGTGTTTAATTTTATTGGAACCACATTTGATGAGTGGCCCATCTTCTCCTGTTCTTTGTAGATTATTCCAGGTTGTTGGGAAAATAGACGATACACTTGCCTTGCTCAACCTGGTGAGTTTTTTGTTTTTTGGGTTTTTTTTGTTGGTGGTGGTGGTGGTGTTTTTTTATCCTTTTGGGAAATGATTTTGGTTTATAATTTAACCCTCCCAAGAGGACTGAGAGTGTTTAGCTGGCTGCTTCTCTCTTATTCTCTGGCACCTCGGAACCTGAACTCTGTCCACACCTGGAAGCTCCTTGGACAACCCTTGCACCACAGGGGGCTGCCACCCTTCCCCAGCCCACATAGAACTGGGGGTGCTAGGCCTGCCTGTGGAGAGGACTGAGATGAGCCAGGAAGGCACAGGCTTCTCGGGTCTGACACTTGCTGGCCCACCATTCTGTCTTGGGAGGGGCCTAACCTGGCCCCTTCTGGAGTGGTGAGGGGGCAGCTTGCATCATCCAGGCTGCATCTATGTGACCTCCCTCCCTCCTCTCCAGGCCTGCATGATGACCATCACCCTTCTGCCATACACAGTAAGTAAAAGCCTGCTCCCCAGACATGCCCAAGACGTGCTGAGCTCCACCTGGGTTTGACTGTCCTTGGAAATGCATGATTCTGGGCCTTGGGGCTATACAGAGGAGAGAACTTCCAGGGGGAGTCTGGCTGGGGGCCTGGGGCTCTGAAGGCAGAGACCACTGGAAGGCAGGGCCCCCACTCTGTCGTGGCCTTCCTCCACTCAGAGTCTCCACAGACCCAAAAAGCTCTCATACTCAGTGCTGACCTGTGCTGGTCTGTATGTGCTAGGCCAGAGAATTGGGATCTGGGGGACTTCAAAGGCCTATAGCAGTGGATGGAATTGCTCCTGTGGGGGCTGCGGACAGATCTGCCACACCCTATATGTCCCCTCCCATGATAGTCCTTCTCAGCACAGAGCAGGGAGACCAGGAGGCTCATTGTGTCCCCGCTCCTAGACTAATGAACTTCTGCATTACTCCTTGTTTTGGACAGTTTTCCTTAATGGTGACGTTCCCTGATGTGCCACTGGGCATCTTCCTGTTTTGTGTGTGTGTGATCGCCATTGGAGTTGTGCAGGTAAGGCATCAAGAGCCTGCAGAGATGTATGCGAAAGAGACAAAGAGATGGTCATGGGGGCAAGCAGGTGAGGCGCCAGTATCCTGACCCCATGTCCCCAGGAGCCCGGGTCCTGCCGTGGATACCTGGGGTGTGCATGCCTGAGCCCCTTGTCCTTGCTGAGTCTAAGAAGGGCCTCACAGTTGCATCAGGTGCAGGGCCAGGACTCCCATCCCTGGTGTTTCCCTAGAGCACCCCGTGCCAGCCTGCCTTAGGTGCCCTCCCCCGAGACCCTGCAAGAAGCCAGCTTGCCTGGCCATGCCCCTCTGCTCATAGAGGGTGCCCTGTGGCCTGCCTCTCCCACAGGCACTGATTGTGGGGTATGCTTTCCACTTCCCACACCTGCTGAGCCCGCAGATCCGGTGCTCCGCCCACAGGGCCCTGTCCCGAAGGCACATCCTGCACCTTGTCCTCCGTGGTCCAGTGCTGTGCTTTCTTGCGGCCATCTTCTCCCTCTTCTTCTTCCCTGTGGTGAGTGTTGGGGCACCCCAGGGAGGGCACAGCCGGGGCACTGAGATGCTTTTTTTCAGCCAGCAGCTAATTCTAMCAGGAGTAAGAGTGGTGGTCTGGCAGAGCGCTGTTCACACAGGACCAAGATCTGCAGAACAAGCTGCTCCAGAGTTGGCATAGGAAGCTCACTGTGACTCCGGGTCTGCTTGAGCGTTGTTGAAGTACATGGAGTTTTTAATCCAAATTATCCTAAGAATTATGAACAAAATAACTGACATTTTCATAAACATCTAATAAGCATTCAAGAGGATTCCAAGTTTAAAACGGGCTAAGGTGAACTTGGTGGTGCATGCCTATAATAGAGACTCAGGAGGCTGAGGAAGAAGACTTACAAATTCTGGCCTGCCTCAGCAACTTACAAGATCCTGTCTCAAAAAATAAAAAGGCCTGAGGATGTGACTTAGTGGTAGAGCCCCTTTCATTCAATCCTGAGTTAAAAAGTAAATAGGCTGGTAAGGGCCTGAGGCAGCAGCCAAGCAGGGTCCAACCCTCTGGCCAAGGCAGAGCGGAATCATCTGGAGAGCACCAGGCAGGTAGGCCTTGGTGGGGCCTCAGGTGAGGAGGCAAAAAAGAAAGGTGAGCATTACCGTGTGAGGCCCTGGGCCTGTGGCCGGCCATAAGACTCGGTCCCTTTGGAGCTGTCTTTCAGGGCTCATGAAACAGGAGGGAGGAGGGGCAATGGTCTTTAGTGGGGAAGCCAGCGGTAGGCAGCAAGACGGGAGTGAGGGGCAGCAGTTGGAGGCGAGTCTTAGCATCAGAGGTGGGACCGTCCCCTTTTAGGGGTACACCCAGGGTGGTCCATGTGGCATGAATGTCTCATGAAGGCAGGGCATAGGCATTGGCAGAACAGGAGACTACGTGGGGTTTCTGGATCTCTCCTTGCTACATTCTGATCAGAATTCCTTCTTGTTATCCAAAAATAGTATACTGGGGGGCTGTGCCACGCTGTGCCTGAGGTTGCTCACTGTGGCCCCTTGGGCTGTCCCACTCTTGGCTGTCGTGGGTGGTGCTGCCTTGAGCACAGCCTCTTCCAGCCTCTGCTCTCAGTTCTGTGCACATGCCCAGAAGTGGCCCAGGGGGAGAAGGGGACTGCTGTACTACGCAGTCCCCTTCTCCCCCTGGAGCTGCTGGGCATGTTCCCTAAGAACAGTGGCCTTGAGGCTCTCTGGCTTGCTGGTGTGTGCATGTTGCTTCTGCCCCTCTCACAGCTGGGCGCTTGTCTTCTGTTGAGTTGTAGCAGTTCTTTGTGTGTTCTGGACACAACTCTTGGCAGGTGTATGGCTGCTGGGCGCTTTCTACCTTCCATGGCTATCCTTTACTTAATCTCCATAAAGGACAGTTCCTTGGATTTTTCCTTGTTACACATGATTTTTCACGGGTGGTAGAACTCCTGGGTGGCTGGGCTCCAGGAGGTATATGGCCCTGCCCTGGGGAGGCAGGCCCTGACTGTCATGTCCCCACAGTCATACCTGCTGATGGTGACCGTCATCTTCCTGCCCTACATCAGCAAGGCCACCAGTTGGTGCAAAGACAGGCTTGTGGGTAGGTGTCAGTGGCAGTCCTGCACTGAGGCCAAGGGAGGCACCACAGGGGTCGGGCTGTTCATGAAGACTGCCATGTTGGGGCAAGGCACACATATGTGGTGACCCTCCCACCCCTCAGCAGCTCCACACCAGCTCCTCTCCTGGGCTATACATTCCCAGTCCCTAAGGGAAGCGGGCAGGGATAACCACACTTGCCCCACAGCCCATGGGCTGAGCCAGCTCCTCCCTCCTATGCCTGCAGGTCACAGGGACCCTCCCGCCCACAGTGCAGAGGTCTTCAGCTTCGACCTGCATGAGCCCCTCAGTAAGGAACGGGTGGAAGCCTTCAGCGATGGTGTCTATGCCATTGTGGCCACACTCCTCATCCTGGACATCTGGTGAGGACCCAAGCGGGGGCAGCCCTGTCTCATCTTCAGGTGGCAGTGTGTCTGAGTCCCTGGCATCTTGTCCTGGCCACACCAGAAAGGCTCAGCTTCACCCTCCTGTGGGTGCAGAGCTCCCTGGGAGGGTTTCCCCAGGAATAAGAACGCCCCTCAGGCCTTGGCCCCACCTAGGTCCCTTCAGGCATGTCTGTGGGTATGGGCAGCTTAGACTGCCATGGGAATCTGTTGGAGCTCTGATCTGAGCAGCCACTTTTATTTCCAAGTGTTTGTTTGCTTTTCCAAGTCTTCCAGGCTTCCTAAATCTCTTGACTCCTTAGTCACATCTCAGTGCACACTTTTATTGCATTAAACATTTAAAAACTTTTTGTTTGTTTTGGGGGTTTTTGTTTGCTTGTTTTTGCAGTACTGGGGGTTTAATCAAGGTACTCTACCACTGTGCTACATCTGCAGCCCTTTTGTTTTGACATAGGACCTTGCTAAGTGCCCAGGCTGACCTCAGCTTCCCAAGTTAGCTGGGGTTATAGGCATGCACCCCTGTACTGTGAAGTTTTAAAAATTTGTAGCAAATATTTTTTGTAGTACCTGATTCCTAAAGCCTATAATCTGTTTTCTTCTGCCCTGCAGCCAGATGCTGTGGGTGGGGAAGTATGGCTGAGGGGAAGCCCATCACCATCCACAGGTCTCATACTCCTCCTGTGTGACCCCCAGGTTCTCCCACACACCCTTCCCCACTGCCCAGTTTTGGAGGTGCAGGTCTCTGGCTGCCTCAGGAGCCACCATCCTCCACATTATTTGATGAAAGGTGTCTTTCCTGGGCCTCCAGGGCCAGGCACATTGTTGGAGCTTCTTATGGGTGAGGGCTGCTCCCAGCAAGGAGAGCAGAGAGCATGCCAGTTAGGTATCTGTTCTGGGTGAACTAAGGGGAGAGCACAAACACCTCAGCGTGCCACACACACGATACCACATCAGGAACATTTCCTGTGCAGAGGTGTCCAGGTGTCCGCCCAAGTTAGCACCGATGCTCAGCCCACCTCCCTGGGGCCTGTGGGCTCCTGGGGAAGCTGGTGCAAATGCCTGTGTTCATGCTCCTCAGCGAGGACAACGTCCCAGACCCCAAGACCGTGAAGGAACAGTTCCGCGGGAGCCTCGTGGCAGCCCTGGGCGCCTATGGRCCACACTTCCTGGCATACTTCGGCTCCTTTGCCACAGTGGGTCTGCTCTGGTTTGCACACCACTCGCTCTTCCTGCACGTCCGCAAGGCCACACAGGCCATGGGTCTACTCAACACCCTCTCCCTGGCCTTTGTGGGTGGCCTCCCTCTGGCCTACCAGCAGACTGCAGCCTTCGCCAGGCAGCCACGAGATGAGCTGGAGCGTGTGCGCCTCAGCTGTGCCATTGTCTTCTTCGCCAGCATCTTCCAGTTTGCCATCTGGACTGCGGCCCTGCTGCGCCAGGCGGAGACGCTGCAGCCAGCTGTGCGATTTGGTGGGCAGGAGCATGCCTTCATGTTTGCCAAGCTTGCGCTATACCCCTGTGCCAGCCTGCTGGCCTTTGCAGCCACCTGCCTGCTGAGCAGATTCAGCACAGCCATCTTCCACATCATGCAGATTGCAGTGCCCTTCGCCTTTCTGCTGCTGCGCCTCCTCGTGCGCCTGGCTCTGGCCAGCCTGCATGGCCTACGCCACCTGCGGCCAGCACAACCCCTCCGGAGCCACGCCCCAGAGGAGGCCCAGTCCCAGCTCCTGCCTTCCTCCTGCTAGTGGAAGCTATGCCTGCCCCGGAAGGAAGCCTTGGGGGTTGGGCCAGCAGGCCCCATGGAGCCACAGTCTGGGTTTTGCCTCCACTGTGAAATATCAAGATCTRTTTCAGAGTATGCAAATTGTCCTCCTTTTTTACACTACGAGGAGTTCCACAGGAACTCAGTCTCTGCTGTTAGCCACCCACTTTCCTCCTAGACTCCAACACTACCAGGAAGATTGCCCCTCTGGAACCTGAAGCCAGTGGTCCTCCTGCCCCACCGCCTGTACCCCCTGTAGCCATGCCCTGGCCCACCCTCCCAGCAGTGCAGAGCTGCCCTGGTGAGACTGCAGTCCACCACCCCCTCCCCACCTGTCACACAAATGAAGAAGAGGTGGCCGTGGAACAGTGGAGTCCAGATTCTATTCATCCTGATATAAATTAGGTCACATTCAAGGAGTAGTTASTCAGTGACGCACAGGACTAGCACACAGGGACATACACCCAGTGGGCAGACAGTCTCACATAAATGGAGGACAAGCCACACTGACCACAAGAAACAATTCTTGCAAATGAGAATCAAGGCAAAAACTGGTTACACCACTAAGACGTGTTTCGGACATTACATATGACATGAACACAAGGAATGTCTACACAAGAGACCACAAGTGGCCCCCAGGACGCCTTTGTGCAATTTTGGCAGAAGCAGGAGAAGGGGCTGGGCTTAATGGCACCAAGGCTCTCCAGGGCTGCAGGCCAGGCCATAGCCACTTCTGAGGTCAAGGGCCATGGCCATGCAGACCCAGTGCCAGCAGACAAAGGGAGATCTGACTGAGCCTCTTTTTTAAGGTTGGGACCTCTGGAGACTTCCCACATAGGTTTCTGGTTTCTGGTCAGATTCCTTTGGGATCTGAGGTGCAAGGACTATCTTGGCATGGTGCCCCAGGGTGGCCCGGAAGCAGAACTGCCTGGGGGACTGAGCCAGGGCAAGAAGGGAACATGGGACACTTGCTGGCAAGCAGCAGGCATGTAAAGTGCTGTGGTTGAGCCTGAGGCCTGGGGGTGGTCTGCATTTCCACCAGTGCACGCCAACCCTGCCCATGGACTCTGGGGCCCAAGGGAATATGCTCAGGGCCCAGCCCACACTCCAGCTGGGGTCAAGGTGGACTGACGGGTGTGGGAATGCCGTTCCCCTTGCCTTAGCCTTCGCCACCAGCCCTAGAGAAGGGTGGCCAGGCCCAGTCACATTCCACAGTGCAAGCTGGAAAAAAGGGAAGGCACCTTCCCACCGGGAGGGGCAGGAAAAGCTGACAGCACTTGCTACTATAGGGCCAGTAGGAGGTCCAGTAGTAGTTCCAGGGGAATGGTCTGAGTGGCACATGTGGCCCTTGTCCAGTGCTGTCCAGTTCATAGTGCTCAGGTGGAGGGTTACAAAGAGAGGTTGTCGACCCCCAGGAGGGAAGCCTGGGCCCTACCTCCCAGTCCTCCCTTCCCCAGGACTTCCATGACTAACACAGGTATGGGATCCCAGCCCCTGAGGGAACAGTGCCCACCTGCTACACAGCTGCCCTTGGGCCAAGGGGGGGATGGCCACCCGCATCCCATCAGTGTCCATGTAACACCARACAAGGACAAGAGCTGGAAACATCTAGGCCTGGGAAGATGCTGGGGTCCAGGTGATGGGTCCATCTGCTGGCCAGCCAGTGTGTGAACTTGGAGCAGCTGAAGACAGGAAACCAGCCTTCTTAAGCTTCTACTTAGGGTCACCCTCAAGGGCAGATGAAGTGTCTGCTCTGGCGTCCCTGGTGGTGCCAACCTTTCTGGGTCTCTGCTTGGCCTTCCTTAGCATGTGTACCTGTTTGAGATGGGGGAAGGGTCAGGATGACATAGATCACAGTCCTGGGACCCCAGGAGGCCAATGCCCTGGATGGGGCCATCTTCAGTCCACTGCCCATCCTCAGCCAGGCCTCTTCTCTTGAGGCCCAGGACTCATGTCTTTTGAGGCCTGGCCACTCTTACCAGGATCCCATGACCACCTGGCCTCTGGGAGGCCCAGCCCACTTGAGCAGCAATGGCCGCTGCACAGCCGCAGCCCACCTGGGCTTAGCCCTCATCAGCATACCTTGGGACCAGCAGCTGAGATGATCATATGCCCCGGGGCCTGAACCCAGGGCTCACCATCCACCTGCACAGGAGTAGCCTTGAGGAGCGTGACTCGGAAATAGGAACCCTGGGCGATGCGGATCCCAGAGCGCAGCCCACCCTGCACCTGGCCCTGGGCAGAGACAGGCCAGGCTTAGTGGGCCCACGGGTGCCATGAGGCCACCCGCTGGGCTCCCATGCTCACCATGTGCACGACGCCTGTCACACCCACCACCTCCAGCAGCCCGTCGTCCATGCGTGGCTTCTCGAACCTCGGGTCGCTGTCTGAGCCCCACAGGTCAGCCCCTGAGCCCCAGCTGCCCCAAGAGGAGGGAGGGGCGTGCACAGATTAGGCCCAACTGACACTGCTCAGCCCAGGCCACGCAGTCTCCTGGGAGCCCAGCCCCACACCTGGGGATGTTGATGAAGATGAGGCCCTCAATGCTGGGCAGCTCTACCTCCTGCTGTTCAACCTGCAGCCTGAGCTCCCTGTGGAGGCCGCGGGAGTGGCTGATCTTCTGTAGCCCAACCCGCACATACACACCCTTATTGTGGAACCTGCCGGAGGAGACACACCTGCGGTCACTGGCTGATGGCTGCTGCCTTGCCGACAGAAGCCCCAGCTCCTGGCCCTGCCCTTGTGGTACCTGCTGGTGAACTTGCCAGGCTCCTCCTCCCTCGCCTGGTGGAAGTCCAGACTGAGCTCAGCATCAATGCCAATGCCACAGTAGTTACTCATCTGCACAATCTGAGGAAAAGGGTGTCAGCAGGTCACCAGCCAGCCCCCAGCACCCCAGTGCAATCCAACGCACCAGCAGCTCAGAGGAGCAGCCTCATATTCCAAGTGGGGGTGCCAGTACTCCTGCAAGTGGCTGAGGAGGGAGCATTTCTGTGCACCTCAAGAGCCAAGCAGGGGGCACACTGGTACCTTGGGGGGCTCTGTGTCCACTACACTGTTCTCGGTACTACTGGCCTCCTGGGCGTCCAGCAGGATGGTCCAGCGGTCCATAAGCACAGCATCAGCCTCATCCACAGACACAAGCACAGAGAACGGGTCTTCCCCGCTGTAGCCTGCCCCCCAGCGGAGCACTCGGCCAAGGTCATTCCCTGGGACAGAGGTAAGGCAATGACTCCCACATACCATCACAGAACAGAGCCCCCACCATAGGACAGAAAACCCAGCACAGGCCTGGAGCAAAACTAGGGGCAGGGAGAGCCATGAGGCCCCAGTCTTCAACTCAATGGCTGGCCTCACCTGTGCCCAGGGGCAGGATGGCCACGGATGGCTCTGGACAGGCCAGACGGTGTCGTATCTCCTCCAGAGCGCCAAGCACCCAGCCCACGGTGCCATCCCCACCACACACCAGCACCCGGAAGCAGGGTACCTGGGAGAACAGATGAAACCTGCAGCAGGAAATAGGAAGTGTCCCACCACAGTGCAGCAGCTCCTTCCACATGCCTGTCTCCAGCCACATAGAGGACCTGAAGCTTCCATCTTGGAGCTCCAACTGAAGTTCCCAGTGGCCACAGACATCAGCGGGGCCCTCCCGCCTGCAGCAGACCCTGACTCACCCAGGAAGAGGCCCCCCATTGGTCAGCTCGAAGACCTGGTGTGGGTTCAGCAGCCTGCGGAAGCTGCAGAGCAGGTCTCGGCCCTTGAGGCCCCCACTTTTGGGGTTCACGAACACGAGGAGCGGGCAGCAATCTGGGGGCAGCTTCATGTGCTGAGAAGCAGGAGGGCAGGGTCAGGGTAGGGCCAAGGTCCTTGGGCTGCCACGCAGCGTCTGCTCTGAGCCCCAAGCCCACTGGCCAAAGCAGCCCTCCTAAAGAAGAGAGGGCTGCTTCCCCACATGAGCACCGGTGCTGACCTCAGGACCACAGGCTGTGGCCAGTGGGCAGCAAGGAGGCCAGCTGGCTGCCTGGCGGTCCAAGCACAAAGACCAGCCACACCCACCTGCCAGGCTACACAGCCCACAGGGCCCTGCTTGGTGCTGCCAGCCAGCACACCAGGCCTGGCCCTCAAAGGGCCACCCACCTACCCTTTGGAGATTGGCAGCTTCCAGGAAAAATGCTGTTTCCAGGGTGGCTACACGTCTCCCTTGAGCTGTGAGACAGGACCTGTCTCCCATTTCCCACACACAACCCCAAGACCAGCCTAGGAGTCTAGACAGTGGGCCAGGCAGCATCCCTGTGACAGGGTGGGGTGACGAGACAGACACAGGGTGGGCAGTGGCACACGGACCAGACCGTGGCTGGGCAAGGACACACTTGGGGCTWCATGGCCCAAGGGGCAGGCAAGGCCGCCTGCACTCACCACTTACCCACTCACCCCAAGGCAGGCAGCTGACGGGAGAGAGAAAGCGGTGTCGGCCTCAGGCCCAGCTCTGCCCATGGAGCAAACAGGACGGGGCTGGGGTGTACCTGAGCCCTGGCCTACAGGGACTGAATCCTCAGAAAGTGGGGACAGTCACCTGGCCTGGCCAGGATAGGACCAGGTAGGGAAAGGACAGGAAGGATCTATGGGCATTTCCTACTCAGTCACAGACCCCTAGACTAATTCTTTCTCCTGGGCTTATGTGGGGGGGGTCAAGGGCCAGGATTCAAGAACAAAATAGCTGTGGACACCTGGGCCTCGTGGGACGAGCAGGGGCAGGCAGGGCAAAGTCACCATGGATGCCTGGGGGCCTTGAGGAACATGCAGGGGCAGGCAGGGCTGAGAGCCACAGGCCACCATGAGGGTGTGGGATGGAGGTCAAGGCTCCAGCCCTCCCCTCCTGCAGCTCACCCCTGTGCTCACAGGCAGTGCTGCTCTGGCCCTGTGTTACCCTGCCACCCTCTTCCAGGTACAGGTAGGTCTTGAGGGGAGCCCCAGTGACGGGGCTACACTGGCTGGTCAAGCCCTGCTGTGGAGCAGGGCCCCTGCGGCCCCCCAAGACAGGTGGAGAGGACAGGCCAGAACGATGACAGTATAGTAACAGGCTCTGACTCTCAGCAAGCGGCTGCTGTACAGTCAGGAGCTGCGTCCTGTGGCCTCCCCACAGCACAGAGACAGGAATCCAGAACAGACAGCCAACCCCAGCCCCCAGGAGCGGGTCTCACCCACCAGCAAGCACGGACCCTCAGACCTCGGTCCCTCTGGTGTGAAGTGGGCAGCCTTGTCCACCCTTGGCTATGGTGAAGCCTGACCAAGGTGGCACCACCAGCCCCGGCACACTCGAGGGAGATGGTGGTTGAGCGCGTCCAGTCATGAGGACGCAAGATGTGCAGGTTCCACCCTGGAGAACCACGCATAGCCCAGAACTGCCCACTCACCAGCACGTCTGGGAGCACCAGCAGCGACAGCGGCCGGCCACGCACCATCGTGTCCCTGCCCAGCATGAACAACCGCTCAGCCTCAGCAAAGCAGGCCACGTCCAGCACCACCGCACCTGCACAGGTGGCCAGAGCTCAGGGGCCTGCCCTGCACACCCACCCCACCCGCCCATGGGGCAGCTCAGGGGCCTGCCCTGTGCACACACTGCCCCATTCCCATGGTGCCCAGAGCAGGGTTTCAGTCCCCTGGTAACAGCCCCAGCTCTAGCCATAGCCATGTAGAGTCAGCGCTCTGATGCTGGCATCTACAGTGAGGGGCCTCCCCACCCCAGAGTGCTTCCAAGGATGGCCAGGCTCAGTAACTGAACCCAACAGTGGGCAGTGGGCCCGTCCCCTGCACCACAATCCTCACACACACACACACCCAGCATCCCCGGGTAGGCAGGTCATGGGCATGTTTGGAACCTCCCCAGCAGGAGGCAGGACCATGGCAAGAGGGGCGTGGAGAGCACAGCTGAGCTGAGCCACACTGATGCAGGAGCATCAGAAGCCAGCAGGAATGGCTCCAAGCTCTGAAGGAGGGAGAAAGATAGCTTTTCCACCCACCTCCAGAGTACATGGGTGCAGCTCACCTTGCGAGTTGTAGACATGGCTCACGGACACCACAGCAGCTGCAGACAGACTTGTGTCAGGGGTGCATGGTACCAAGGCTGCCCGACTCCCCCTCCCAAAGGTATCCCACTCCAGAGCAGGGCCCTGCCCCCTGGAGGTCCAGGGACCCCACAGGGGGAAGCAGAGATCCCTAATAACAGAGGATAGGAAGCTGAGTGGGCTGTGCCTAGGGTGGGAATGGAGTCGGGGTTCAAATGGCGGGAAGGGCAGGAGAACCATCCCAGCCAGAAGCCCTGGCCAGCCCAGGGTCACACCTTTGGTGGCCATAGCCTCATGCAGCAGGTGACTGTATTCCTGGGGGGACAGGCCAGGTGGCAGGCCACCCACGAACAGAGAGACGTGTGGGGTTACGGTCCGGCTCTCGGTGACATAGAACCGTGTCTGGCTCACCTGCCGCACAGATGTCTGTAGGGAGGGCAAGGGCTGTAGGGATGCTGGGCAGTGCCATCAGCGCCCACTCCCCATCAACCAGGGGCAACAGAAGTAAGAGGGGCACCAGGGCTGCCTTCCTCTGGGTGAGCCCTGCCCCCCTCAAGGAACTGGGGCAGTCTGTGGCTCAAGGCCCTCTTGCTGGGTGACGATGTTTCATGGAGGGCACTGCCAGCCAGGGCAGTCAGTTGCCTGCTGGGTAGGAGACACCCCTCTGTGGGGCAAAGGCCATGGCTAAGGGCCAGAAGTACACTGGGGCCAGTGTCCACAYCCACTGACCTGCCGGATGTCCCGAAGCCGATCAAGCAGGGGCTCCTCATCTGCTAGCACTGTCCGCTGGACTGTGGGGTTGAGGGGCACAGCTCATTACAGGTGGGCTCCTCCCTACATCAGCCAACAGCCACCCTGAGAATCCAGGCATATGGGGACATAGGCAAGACCAGCCCCAACATCCTGAGGGACAGGCTTGGGAGGCCCGGGATGTGTGTAGGGCCTGAGAGCACTGCCAGGCTACTCACCCACCTTGCTTGCTGCCCATGAGCACCTCGACCAGCTGGAAGCTCTCAGGACCCTCAACCTGCAAGGCAGGAATGGCATCAGGCATGGCCACCTCCCCAGGACACCTTAGGGGACAGCAACAGGGCCCACTGGGTAGGTAATCCCCAGGTCTGGCAGAACTAGGCGGCCCAGCATACACACCTGGCGCCCGAACAGCGGGAGGACCTCCAGCACCACGGTCTGCGCTGTGCTCTGTGGGGTCACACGGATGGACACGTAGGCCACACCCACCCTGCAGGGGACAGGCTTGGAGCTTGGGCCCTGGGCTCCTACCCCATCCCCTCCCCCAGCCGACCCCATGCCTTGGGCCTCACTTGAGCCAAGCTGGATAGATCTTCAGGACCTCCTGCGTCCGAGGCAAGGAACGGATGACCCAGGCCTCGGGCATGGGCTCCTGGGGCCCAGAGACTCTGCTGCCCTCCTCCTCTACAGGACCACTTAGCCCAGCCTTCCCCAGGGCCTGGGTGTCMCCACTCAGTGAAGGCAGGGGCAGCGCCTGCAGCTCAAAGTCCCGAGCATCCTCAATGACACAGTAGGCCCGCAGCGCCACCTCCTGCGGGGGGTGGGGGGACAATGATGTGTGGAGGCCTGGCGGGGTAATCGGTGTGGGGGCCCGGGTGTGGCCGCTACTGGGGCCTCACAGACATGTGGCCCTACCCTGGCCTCCCTCTTACCAGCACCTCCTGGCTCCTGGCCAGCCGCGGGACAGTCACCAGGCGGAACTGGTTTCTCCTGATGGCATCATTGCCATCAAAGATCTTCAGGATCTGCTTGCCTGGGCCAGGAGGGAACAGTGAGGACTCTATAGGGGGAGCATGGGGACCAGCTGATCACTATTGGGCATTTACCTGACTCTGGAGCCACCAGGGCCTCTCTGCCCAGCACCCCGGTAGCAATTCCATCTGCTCCATCGTCCCTGTCACCTGCATATTGGACATGGATCTGTCACTCAATGCTCTGCCAACCTGGACCCTGGTGTCCCCAAGGCCACCCACAGCCTCACCTGGCTCTGGCACCACAGCCTCAGCAATGCGGAAGCAGTGCATCTTGCTGAAGTTGCGGGACAGCAGGCGCACACACGAGGGGGGCAGGACCATGGACCGCAGGCGCCCAAACGCACACTCTGGACCAAGCGCCGTGGAGCACACCGCATGGGCCTGGGGGACATGGGGCGAGCCTGACGCACTAGGAAAGAGGCGGCCTCACCCAGACCAGAGAAGACAGGGGCCCTCATCCCCAAGACAGCACAGTGTAGACCAGATCCAGGAAAAGGACACCTCAGCCCATCCCCAGGGTCCACCCCAACCAGGGCTATCCCACCCAGCCCCCAGCCCATGCCCACCTGGACACCACACCACTCGCAGCGCACACCTGCCGGCACATCGGAGGACCCACACGTCTTCCTGCAGACCTCACAGCGCGTGCCGGAGGGCAGGTTCCCCTCCCGCCAGTGGTGGTGATGCGTGTCCTGTGGAGGGAGCAGTCAGTGGCACGGCCCACCCTTGCCCAGGCCTGCCCTCACCCAGGCCCCTGCACTCACATAGTCCTGGTGTCCATCCTGGTGGCACTGGCGGCAGTCGCTGCAGGCGAAGGGCACACAGTCGGGGTGAACGTGCAGCTCACACACTGGGGGGCGGGCAGGGTTAGGGGCTCTCACCATGCCCCTGCCCCCGCCCTCCTTGCAGGCCTCCCAGTTGGGGCTGGGTTCGACCCCAACCTCTGCCACCAAGGAATCCCCTTCCTACCTACCTGCATGGGGCGTGGTGTGCACCCCTCCTTGGGAAGCTCCCCAGGCCGGCCCTGCACCTACCCCCACTTCCCTAACAAACCATGGACTGGGGGAGGGCAGGCTACCAGAGGGCAGGCCACCCTGGGCAAGAGAGACCAGGCCCTGGGTGAGGGGCTCAGCCTAGGAGGCCAGTGGGGCCAGTGGTACCTTCACAGCGAAGTGCGGGTGCCTCCAAGCCCTTGCGACACACAGAACAGAACCTGCGCTTGTAAAGCCCCCGGGGGCCGAAGCAGTGGGCTACAGGGACCTGCAGGGCAGAGTGAGCCTCAGCCTCTGCCCGTCTGGCCTGCACCTCCTCCCTGGCCGCTGTCTCCTCCCTCCAAAGGCTCCTGAAGCCATCACCTCCAGGTCTACCCTCTGGGAGGCAGTCGGCCACAAGGACTGTGAACCTTGCCTTTCCATGATAGAGATGGAGAGGGATCCGTTCTTTTTCCAGTCCTTCAGTTACCATGTGCACAGCAGAAGGGAGCGTAAACAGAAAGCTTGCACGCCAGAATGGCAACCATGGGCACAGAGGCTGATGTTTATTTCTTTATCTTGTTTTTTGGTACTGGGGATTGAACCCTGGGGTACTTTATCATTAAGCTACATCCCCAGTCCTTTTTATTTTTTGAGACAGGGCCTTACTAAGTTGCCCAGGCTGGCCTTGAACTTGCAATCCTCCTGCTTCAGCCTCCTGAGTTGCTGGAATTACAGGTGTGTGCAACCATGCCTGGCTTTTTAAAAATATCTATATCCTCCAAATTTTTATCATATATATATATACAAATATATAATATATATATTATATATATATTTGAAATTTTTAACTTTTTTTAAGCTTTTTTAATTTTTTAATTTAATTTTTAATTTTTTTAAGTGAAGAGGAAACATTAAGACCAACTTTAGAATATAGTCATAAATGTCCACATGAAGGGCCACCCCAGCCAATGTGACACCCCAAGCTGGCACCCAGAGCCAGCACCTGAAGCCAGTATCCACAGGCCCTTTTGTGCTCACACATGGTATTCAAGTCATTCCCCAAACACAGCATCAAGTATCCCAGGGCAGACACCACCTGGCAGCAGGTGACCTGCATCCCGGCCCCCTTCACCCATAGGCACAAGCCCACCACACCAACAGCACTGCTGTGCTGAGCTCCAGCCCACTGCACCAACATGGTGGTCGGTGGTTCCACAGCCCACAGCCAGCTAGCAGGCAGGTAAATAGGGTGTGATGCTGTATGCAGGGCACAGGTGACCACTGATGCCATCAGTCCTCCCTMAACACTTGGCTGTCATTACCCACAAAAGAGAAGTCCCCACACCCTGCAGAGACCTCAGCCAGGTGCCTGAACACCCCATCGAGAACCCTGAAGAGGGAATTAGATGGCCAAAACTCCTCCAACTCCTAGGCTTGGGCCTTCTGTTTATATAAGCCTGTTACCTTGAGCATTTGTGGGCTCAAGGGCCACATCAGACAGAGCTGATAGGTATCACAGCAGGGCAGTGACAGTGATGCTGAATGAGAGCACCCAGCCCGAGGAGACCTACATGATGTACCTGGTACCCATGCCCACTCCTCTACCCACAACCTGTACTCTCCCAGCATCCCATTTCACCTGCTAGTGGGCGGGGTGGTAGAGCATGTACCCTGTGGGACTGGCCTTCCCAGGCACRACACCTGGGGATCCACCCAGGTGCTTGGTGTCATCAATTGCTCCTTCCCTTGGATGGCTGAGCAGGATTCTACCCTTTGCTTCTTAATCACGGTGTGACCAAGCTGACAAGTAGGACAGCCAGGAAGGCCCTGGCCCCACAAGGGCCCACACGTATTGCTAGGGTGGCACTCACCCTCACCAGGCTGGGCGCGATGCCCGTGCACGGCGTCCTCACATGCTTCAGGCACTTCTCGTGGGACATGAAGTTGCAGACTGTAGGAACAAAAGCTGTGTCAGTGGCCTGGTCCTGCAGGGCAGTTACCTCCTACCCAGGAGATGAGAGGCCCCAGGACCCAGGGCCTGGCCCCCAGCTTTGCCCAGCAGGGCTACAGCAGGGCACCAGCACTCTGCCACAGGGCCTGAGTGCCCGTCACAGTGGATTTTGGCACAGCTGATGGAAGAGGTCCCTCCAGTGAGCTGCTGTGGTGCCTGCCCTGACAACTGGGCAGTGGAGAAGCCATTCTTGCTATCCCCATAATATGAAGCCAGATGATGGCACTAGCACAGATCCCCATGTTCCCTACCCTCATCCACAGACAGGGACTGGTGCTGTGGCCATTCTGGGAGACAGCAGGCCCAGGTCCCCCTGCACCTCTGCAGCAGGCCCTGTGAGAGGGATGGTCCTGGCCACAGCACGCAGAGGTTTCATAAACTTCTACACACCTACCAAGAGCAGCTTTTCCTGGGACACTCTTCCCTCCTGCTCCCACAACTGCATCCACTCCTAACTGCTCCTGCCACATTCTATGGGCTGTGCCTAATATCTAGAGCCACACCAGGCAGGTGGGGCACCTAGCCAGGTGAGGGCTCCCAAAGGCAGGAGTTGCCAGCAGGGAGACTTCCCTAAGCCTCCAAAGACAGTGAGAACTTAAACACTGCCTAGGTGGGAAGGCCAGGACAGCACTGGGGCCAGCAGACATGGCACCCTGGTCCTGGGGAGGCAAAGTGTCCCTGGGCCTCAACAGGGGCAAAGGCTCAGCAGCAGAGAGATGATGGTCAGAAGGGGCAGAGGGCAGTCTGTGGTGGCACATTCAGAGCCAAGAGAAGACAGAGGGGCAAGGGGTCCAAGCTGGGCCCCAAGGGTAGGAAAGGTGGACAAGGCCACAGGGGCAAAGAACACAAATGCCAAAACTGCCTGGAGTGAACCTGCCCATGGGGCCTCAAGGCAGCCCCATTCTTAGGCACCTCCCAGAGGGCAAGCTGCCTCCAACCTGTGGACCCTCACCTCCCAGCCTTAGAAGGGAACAGGCAGAAGTTTCTCCATGGACTGCTCCAGAGACAACGTGTGAAAGTAAGCTGGGACTGTGGGGGGCAGGAGATGGAGAAGGAGTCCTCCAGCCTTCCCCAGGGGCCCTGCTCCCTGTTCACTCTGGGACGAAGACACTGCCAGCTTCCTCTACTGGGAGGGGAGGTGGTGCCTGATCCCGCATTCCATGCCTTGGGTGCTGCTGGGAGGAGCACATCTCCCCACACCCTTTCCAAGCCCTGTTTGCCCAGGTCATAGTCCTATCTTTACAGATACTGCCCGGAAATGGCCTCTCCTTCATCTCCCACACATCAGGCCAGCCCCTCAGGGGGCTGCTTTGCCCAAGACTAGGCTGAAGGTTCCTGAGCCCCTTGAACCTAGAACCCACCAGGAGTCTAGTCTTAGACTTGGCTTCTGCCTTCACWCCTCTCACTGCTCCAGCCTCAAACCTACAGTTCCACATTCATCACCTGCCACCTTCACAGGGATTAGTCTCAGACCTGGAGCTCTGTTTCTGTGCCTTTCACCTGTGCAGGGAATCCTGTGGTCTACCTTCTAYCTGCCTGCAGCCCCCCGACTTTTCTACCTCTCACTTGTGCATGGGGTCCCGGGATCTAGCCTGATTTGGAGCTCACTTGGCCTGCACATGCACACCCTCCACCATAATGGAGCCCCAACATTCCTGGGAGCAGGCAGAGCAGTGCAGTCTCTGATCGGTCAGAGAAACCACAGTGACCACCCCTATGCCAGCTGGCCACCCCTGGAGTCAAGATCACCAAACCCTTTTCACTGGCAGAGGACACCCCTATGTGAGTCTCTGGCCTGAGAGATGCCACTCTAGAGCAAAGGCCTATCTCCCTGATCAGGGTAGAAGTTCCTCAGCCAGTCCCACCTCCAGCCCCTGACCAGGACATAGGAAGTGCCAAAGGTCCATGTGTTCCACATAGGCTGGGCTGAGGGCCCCAGGGCCTGCCTGCTGGCATGAGAGAGGACCAGAAGAGGTCCAGCCCAGATGCACCCTTGAGGCAGAGACAGGGCTGCCTCGCCGGCTTGGCAGCTGAGTGGGAGCCCTGTTGGGACATGCCACACCTGGGAGGAGACCCAGCCAGGCTCTCCACGCAGCAGACTCTGAGCAGAGCCAGCATTCAGTCCCTCTGGGCAACAGCATGCATTCAAGAAGAGAATGACCAGTACCCGAGGTCCAGGGCAGCCGGTTTGCCCATCCCTGCTACCCAATCGCTGAGAGATGCACCCAGACCTGGGAACCCCAGAGAGGTCTGGCCAGTGTCAGGGCCAGCTGGCACTATCCCGGGCCCTGCAACTGCCCCCAACTCAATCCCAGCGCCACACTGTGGCGACACTCCCCGACTTCCGACAAGGGAGCCCAGGAATCCTGCGGCAGGGAGGGGCAGGGATGAGCGACAGTGTGCTGAGGGAGGCCCGGCACCGCGCTCCGGGCGGACAAGGCCCGTGCGGGCCCGCGGCGCAGAGGTCAGGGCGCGTCCCGCCCAGGCAGCCTCTCCGGACGCGGCTCCGGCCAGCGGCGCGCGCTCACCATCGCACAGGAAGCCGGCGAGCCCCCAGACAAAGTCGGAGCAGAGGTGGCAGAAGGTGGGCTTGGTGAGCGTCACCTTCCGGAAGCTGTGACCCGCAGCGGCGGGGCCAGGGGCTCTGCCGCCAGCCCGCTCCGACCCCTGCCCCGGTCCCTGGCGCGCGTGGCCTCGGGCACCCAGAACAGGGCTGCTGGCGGGGCTGCTGGGGCGCACGGAGCCGCCGCCCAGCCAGACGCGTGCCCCGGGCTCGGTCGCCGCTGCCATCCCGGCCCGAGCAGCCCGAGCCCTGATCGCAGGCGGGTACAGGCCGAGTCCGCGCTGGGAGACTGACGCCGAGCTCCGCCCGCGCCGGCTTCCGACTGCGCCGCCTACTGAGCAGGCGCAGGGCGGGGCCTGAGCGGACCGGGGCGGGGGCGGGGGCTACGGGGCGGGGCCTGTGAGGGCGGAGACGGCGAAGCGGGATGGGGACGCGGGGGGCGGGGCTGAGMGCATGGGGCGGGGCCTGTGGGGAGGAGGGGTGGGGCCTGTCCTGGAGAGGCGGGACGTCCAGGCGGGGCGAGGCCGGCAGAGCGCGGGTCCCAGCCCGGTGGGCGGGGCGAGCAGGGGGACCGAGGTGGTCGACTTGGTTTTTTCCTAACCGCCAGGGATCGTCTGGCAGGCCGGGACTGTAATTCCCCGCTTGCGGCCTCGCGACACCGGACTTGAGGCCTTTGCACCTGCGGCTCCCATGCTTGTGGCTGTGTGGATCGACACCTCCCACGCAGGACGCTGATCCCAGCGAGAGGCAGTCACTGCCTGGCGCTCCTGGGCGGGTTCCGGGGCCCAGGCTCTGCCTTTCTGCCCGGGTTCACTAACGACCCAACAGAGGGCAAGAGAGCGGTGAGGGGCTCCAGGGCTAGGACCCCGCGTGCCGCTGTCTCAGGGCTGCAGTGTGGCTGGAAGCTGGGTTTGTGCTGACCTGCCCTGACGCACTCCTGGTCACTATCCCCACCACGGAGGGGGGCCATGGGAGGGAGCCACCCTTCCCCCGTGGAAAAACCCGTCCCACCACAGTCCTAGTTCTGGAATCCATGGAACCGGTCACTCAATGGAGGGACAACCCCAGCATGCACGACTTGACTTGTCAGGGTGGTGCTGGTGACATCTGGGAGCAGTCCATATTAGTCACCTTACTTCCCTTGCCAGCAGGGGGAACTTGTTCCTGTGGGCCTGACCTCGGTTAGAGTAGGGGAGGCCTCACTGCGCATCTGAACCAAGGGGCTCCTAGGGAACCCACCTGACTCCTGCAGGACATCTAGATGCCCCCAGCCAGGCCACCAGGGCAGCCGGTTTGCCCATCCCTGCTACCCAATCGCTGAGAGATGCACCCAGACCTGGGAACCCCTGAACTAGGGCAGGCTGCACCAGAGCAAAGGGATGATCCCCAGGGGAAGAGGAAAACAGGGAGGGGCACATTAGGAGAGAATACTGTCTCCAGGCAGTGCTGCTGCAGAGGAAATGCCTGGGAATATGCTAGAACTTCTGAATGGGAAACAGGAAGCTTGTTCTTGGTTCCAGGGACCAGTCTAAAAAGAAGAGCAGGCCCTTAAGAAGTTGGGAGGGGAGACGTGGTCCTCCATGATTACAGGACTGATCCACTTGAGCCTCAGCTGAGGGCAGAACTCTGGGGAAGCCTCAGGATACCAGGGATCAGCTGGTCCTCCTGGAGCTGCCTCTGGGGCAGACTGACCACAAACTGAAGAGTAAACCAGCCACTGGATATGGATGAAGGACCCAAGACTTAGTGCCCAGGAGGCCTAAGGAAGAGCATCTAGGCAGGAGGAACAGCTAGTGCAGAGGCCCCGCTGAGGAGTCAGGGGAAGGCACACCACTTCTGAGGACTCCTCCGTCCTGCACCCAGAGAGTAGCACTGTGCTGCCTTCCACTGACAGCCCTCCCCTTTCCCCCAGCCAGCCAGCTGTGAGGACCCTGGTCTCCACCCCTCCTCTCTCCTTTCTCAACCAGATTATTCCCTGGCCCTGCCTCTGTGCAGGCCTCCCATAGTCCTCTTGGCTATGGGAGGGCTTCGACCCAACCTTGGAGCCTTGAGGAGGCAGATGTTCCCCGAGGCCCACACCCACTGCCTGCACTTCTGTTAAGGAAGAGCAGTGTTCATGGACACTCCTCCCTGCACTCAGGAGAAGACATGAGTGCACCTGACTGCTTCCTCTAGAACTTTGTTTCCTGACCTAGCATGTTCATTGAAACAGCCAGCATTTCCATCACACCCTCCCACAAACTTCCCAGAACGTCTTCCAGAGCAACTTGAAACCTCTGCAAAGAATCAAAACCAAACAACACCCGCCAGATGGATACTCTGTGTTTCAGCATCTTCCACAGCTCTTGGGATGGTCTCTTGTGCAGGCCCCTCTAAGTTCTGACCCCACTAGTCTGTGGGGTTGCCTCTCCTATTCTCTCCCTCTCTGTCTGGGTGGGTTAATCAGTGAGCCTTTACTTCTCTGGCGTTGGGGACTGGAAGTCCAGGGTCAGAGTGCTGGTGTGGTCAGGTTCTGGAGAGAGTCCACTGCCCTCCCCACTTCCTAAGGGAGCCGCTGTGCACTGTAATGGTAGAATTGTGCTGCCAAGTTCATATATTGGAATCCCTTAGCACCTTGGAGTGTGACTCAGTTGGAGACAGGGACTTTACAGAGATGATCAAGTTTAAAACAAGGTGATTAGGGGGCCCTCGTCCCCCATGACTGGYGTCCTYGTAGAAGGGGAGCTTGGACAGACTCACCGCAGGGGGAAGGCCCTGTGAAGATGAAGGCAGAGGTCAGGGTGGTGGTCTACAAGCCAAGGGGCCAGGACCAACAGGAGCTGCAGGGGACTGGCACAGAAACTGTCTCAAAGCCTCAGAGGACCCAGCCCTGGACAAGAGGATGGTGACTTGCAGCCTCCAAGACAATGAGACATTAAGTTTTAAGCCTACTCAGTTTTGGCACTTGTTATGACGTCCTTAGGACACTCAGAATTGTCATCTGTGCTGTTTGGTGATTAGCCTCTCTCTCCGGGTTTTGCATGAGAGCTCCAAGATCAGCCCATTTAACTGCTGCTGTCCCCTGGTAGGAACTGTGTGTATTCCACTTTATCTGTTCTATTGTCAGTGGGCCCAGAGTATCGGCAGACCTTGGCTGTTATGAATCAGGCTTTGTGAGCATTCTTCTTGTGTTTGGATACCACATGCTCAGAGATCCCACCATAGACTAACACCAGTCATAGGACATGCTATGTTCCCTTGGAAGATAATGCCAAGCCCTTTTCCAAAAATCCACACAAAAAGTCAAGTCTTTGGGATGGGGCTGTGGCTCAGTGGTAGAGTGCTTGCCTAGCATGCGTGAGGCCCTGGGTTCCATCCCCTGCACCACATAAACATAAACAAATAAAATAAAGGTATTGTGTCCATCTACAACTAAAAAAAAATATTAAAAAAAAATAAAAGCTGAGTCAGGCCTCCACACTTGTCACAATCCTGGCTCTAGTTTGGCTGCAGGCAATCTCCATTTGGCTCCCCCCCTCCCCCCCGCTGGCAAGCAGGCTCCACCTGCCTTGGGCACCTGCCCCTGCAGCTCTTACGAGGCTGTCATGCATCCTGGCCTTTTTTCTTCGGAGTGTCTTGCTCTTATTGACCTTTAGTTCTGGACATAGTCAGGGCAGGGCTGTCTTGTTGGTCCCAGTCGGTGCTCACTGCTTGTATCGTCTGGTTCACAAAGAAAGGCTGTCTGTTGCCCGCTGCCCTGAACTAGGGCAGGCTGCACCAGTGCTCCTGGGGATGGCCCCACAGTCTGATCACAGTTTGGGCACTCGAGTGACACACTCTCATCTACTGCGTGGCTCTGTTTCAAGACACCGTGTTCAGTGTGTATCTACACTTCCCAGAGACACTGTCTATTGGGCCTGACTGCCGCCTTCCTGTCACTTGTCCTTCCTTGGGAGAACAGGTCACAACCATCTGGTGCTAGGGAACACATGACAGCACCAGCACTGTGCTGGGAACCATGTCTGACACTGATAGAGCCCCTGGGTTCAGTCCCTGTACCTAAGTAAATAAGCAAACAAACAATCAGAAAGCAGAAAGGATACTTCTTTATAGTAAGAGCTGAGCAAGCAGTGAGGGGCCTTGGGCCACCCCAGCAGGAGCCGCAGGTCAGTGGCTTAAATCTTTCTTTGCTCTGAGCATGGCCTTGAGTGATTGGAGAAGAACAATGAGCCTTGATTTGGGGTTACAAACAAATTCAGCATGTGGGTGAATCTGCAGACACAGGGTTTGTGTATATCATACAGGCCACACCTCTCCACGTCAGGGCAGTGCTGCTACAGCTCTGGGGCTGGAAGTCCTCTTAYCATCCTGCAGAGGTGGCTTCTTTCAAAAAAATATTTATTTTTTAGTCGTAGGTGGACACAATATCTTTATTTCATGTTTATGTGGAGCTRAGGATCGAACCCAGTGCCTCACGTGTGCTAGGCGGGTGCTCTGCCACCGAGCCACACCCCAGCCCTAGAGGTGGCTTCTGATGATGCTGGTTTTCATGKCCCAGAGCCAGCTGGGTGTCATGTGAGGTGGGGCTGGGTCCCTGCTTTGACCTAGCTTTCCCATGACCCACCTGCTGTACAGGAGGAGGCAACCAGGGTGGAACACTGCGGGAGCCTGTCCAGGTGTGGGCCGTCCACAGCTCTCCTCAAGAAAAAATGCAGATAAATTATTATAAAATTAGGTACATGTTTATTCAGAACAAGAGAATAAATTACAACAAATTAAATGGTTTTTATTTTTATATTTTGGTTCAGGAGACAAACGCACGGGTGCTCTACTACTGAGCTACACACCATCACCCTCCTAATTTAGTGAGTTTTACAGAGTCCCGAGGCCATGTGACTGAGGCGTCCCATGAGTGGACCCCCTGTGGACCTTGGCTCTTCTTCACTGGTGCCCTGCCATCTCCACACCTCTGCAGGCTTCGTCAAGGGTGGTGGACACACTCCTTCAGCACATGTGCTTCAGGATCAGCTCCCTGCAGAGGCAAAGACACCTGTCCGTTTCTTCTCCCAGAGTTGTACCCCTGGCCCACYTTCACACCCAGCAGCCAGCCCTGCATCCTAAGATGCCATCCAGAGTGGGTGCTAAGCAGCATAGCCAGGCACACATGCAGACAGCTGCCCTAGAAGACCTGCAGCTCCGTTCCCAAGGGCGAGTACACCATGCCTCATATTGGCCAGGGCAGAAGGCC